TGCCAGGAGCTGCCCGGCAGAGCAGGGCATGACTGGTTTGCTCTGATTTGGGCTTATAGTTATTTATTTCATGGCGATTCACCGGCAAACAGATAAATGAGCAAGGATGCCAGGTCTCTGAGCCTGTGGAGTCCAACTTCTGACGGCGGATGAAAGAGGGATGCTGAGGTGGTGTGGAGACAGGACTGGTAAGAGCTGCCAAGGAGCAGGGCAAGCGAGAACAGCAGGACGAGGGAGGGAGAAGGGGGACAGGTGGTGGGAAGGCAGAGGGGAGAAGGAGAGAGGGAAAGATCAGTTTAAGTCTGAATTATTTATTTTTATTCCTGAATGTAGCCTCCTGCCCTGGCTAAGGCGTTGCTTGTAGGTTTGTGATGCCGGAGGAATAGCTCATTTTCTCGTCCAGGAGAAGGGACCTCTCCTGCACGGTCCCCGCCTGCCCGAGAGTCAGGGACACAGAGGGAGCTCCGGGAGGGACCAGTGAAGTTCATCCTATACTTTTCCCCCCTTGATCCCCCCCCTTGCCGCTGCCGGCACATTAGCATGCAGGGTAGGCTCTGGTGTGTATTTAATGACTCCATTTGCCGGTGTCTCTGTTAGCTCACACCGCCTTTCTTCAGTCTCGCTTTACAGCCTTGCCTCCCTGGGACCAGCTGGGTCCATCTCCCTGCTGCGTCCACCCGAGCGGACTCTCCGGGACCCGGGTGCCGTTCCCAGCTCGGTTAGGCAGCGAGAGCAAAGCTCCAAGCAGTACTGGAAGGGGAGGGGGCAAAACGAAGCAAGCTCAGGCGAGAGAGGCAGGGAGAGACTCTGTCTCGGCAGTAATGAGGGAGAAGCTGTTTAGTCATCTCTCTATATATACTTTCACAATGATGATCACATTTACTGATTGCTTCTGACTGCATTTAGAGAGGGAGTCAAGAGGCAGGCAGCACAGTTCACCTTTTATCCTGAGGAGTGATTGCTCCCCCTTCCTTCCCGTCCCCCAGATTTAGCCCTACTTTTGGGTGCTGAGAGCATCTTTCCTTGCCAGGTAAGGCATCGCTGCGAGCCGGCAACGCGGGGCTCTCTGGGCTGACTGGGAGGGAGGGGAGAAGTTTGCATGCATTTATCCTAAGCCTGTTGCTTTTGCTCCCAAATCTCTCCAATGGACTGAGGGAGTGAATGTTTTGCAGAAAGTTTTATTATCTGATGTGATTGCGAAGGGGAAGGAATATGTGACCGACAGAGGATATCGAAGCTTTGGCTGACATATTTTGCTTTAAAGCAAATATATCTTTGCTGTCTGAGCCTGACCCAACAAGGACAGGAAAGGAGAGAATGAACAATTTCAAGGCTCTTTACTCCCATTAGCAGTGTCTCGTCAAGAACTCACAGTATGTTTATCAGTCGTATTTTAAATCATCCCTGTCTGCTTCCAGAAAGGGCAACACCATCAGATTTTTGTTTTGTTTCTGTTTTCATGAGACTATGAAGAGACATGTATTAAGTACGGCATTGCCGGCAGGAGCTAACGTGGCAAGAATCCATCGTTTATTTCCTGACCCTTTCGGTGAATAGAAATAACTGTGTTCTCTAAAGTTTTCCTCCAGAGCTTTACTGACCTAGCCGTGCCTGTCAGGTTTTTGTTTGAAATTGGGATGAAACCATGGTGCCCACGAAGCGGCTGCAGCGCAGACGACCTGCGGTAGCCAGCGGTGGTCAGGGAGGGTCTCAGATGGGGTCGGGAGTCCTGGGAGGGGAACGGGGGGCTCGTGCCACAGGCTTTTCTACCAAATTTCCTTGCACCATTTCACTGACCTCATAATTACCTGAAGAAAGCAGATTCTTTTCTCTATAGATGCTGACTTTTTTAAGTCAGGAGGAGACAATATTTTATTTCGTGTACCGGGTCTTCTAAACGTCATCAGCAGGGTACCAATCTTTTGTTAACTAGTTCCTTTCAAATTACGTGCAGAAACTACGGTAATTAAAGTTAGAAATATGTGTATAGCTAAATATATGCTTGTTAGAATTGAAGTATGTCTGTTTGCTGTGCGAGCTGAAGAGACTGTGTCGCCTGTACAGTATATTTTGAGCCCAGCCAATTGCTTTCCAGCCTAAAAAGACTGGTTAGCAGTTACCAAAACCCAGATGTACAGAAAAGGAGGGTTCTTTCCATATTTTGTAGATAAACTAGTTAGTTCATATTTTTTTTACTCAACTTAGTTTGTGCAGCTCTGAATTACAAATCCAGTCCTACCTCTCTCCATTTTCTGTCTCTTACTTTGGGGCGGGGTAGAGGTCCAAGGACTCATGGACAAGAAAAAGCAAAACCTCTTCTGCCTCTCGGTCCTTCCTCACAGACAGTCAATTTATAGCTGAAAAAGACTCTCTTTATGCGTATTTTGAGGATGAAATGGGACAGATTTAAGGCAACTTTGAAAATCAAGCTGTGTGCACTAAGTTTTCTTAACCAGCTGCATCTCTGTCACAGAGAAATGAGAACTAAACTTCCACAGAAGAATACCCCTCTCTTCCTCTTTTGCTTCAACCTCCTGTCCATTTCACGGCTATTTATAGCTTCCCCACATATACTGCCAGCATGGAAGGACCCATTTTATCTTTAAAAATTGATTTAAAAATGTGTAAGTCACTTATGAGTTACCAGCGCTTTATTAGAACAATTATATGTGAAGTATTTATAGTGCCTCAGCAGCTAATGTAGGTAACCTGGAATGTACAACCAAAGTTACAAAAGTACAGAAGAGATTTCTAACGAGATTCCCCTGAGAAACCAGGGGAGATGAGGATCCAGTGTACTGTAGCTGGTCGGGTCACCGTACATCACCAGTCAGTCCTGGTAGAACAACTGTGGTGGTGTCGCTAATTGAAATTAAAAAGCGAAGACGACAGTTTACCAGCAGGGAAAACAGGAACAGGATGCATGATCTTGATCTCTTGGTTATTTGCCTGTATATATCTGGTGATTAATGAGCGAAATGGTTCGCATTTTGCTGCTGCTTGTCTTGCAGTCCTGTTCTTAACGCAGTGTTTCATGAAAGTTAAAAGATCCACCACTGCTGCTAAAAGAAATCGGCAGCTCTGCTGTCTGAGCCCACCGGGTCCCTGGAGATCGCCTTTCAGCTAAGGACCAGGCATATTTTCAAAGTAGTGCAGAGAAAGTTTGCAGCACTGCACTCTGCCTCTTCCCCGCGCAGATGAAAGAGCCTGGTCTCCAGGGCTGTCAGTCTGGCACTATTAACGCAATAAATTCCCTCTTTAGGGGGAGAGAAGAAATAGTGCATAGTAATATTGAACAATTCTTTATAGGAAAATATTGTGGGATGTTTCCTCCAGTGCCATGTATATAAGCAAAGTGTCTCCTTGGGATAAGCATCACTACGGATTATTGTATGTTTCGTAATTACAAAACCTCTTCCAGCAGCAGTAAGATGCTTGCACGAGGGATTTCAACTGTCCTTTAGATAGTAAAATTGCACAGAAAGATACTCCACATTAAGGTGATGAATGTTAATGTGCCCTGAAGAGGAAGAGCATTTCTGTGAGCAGTTTAGTCATTTTCACCACAGATTGATTCCATCATTTTTTATTCAGTATTTTGATGGCCTGTTGAAATCAATAATGCTGCAGCCTTACTGGCTGGAGTGGCAGCTTTCATATAATTAAAAAACTTCAGAGTAAAACTGCCTAGAAGGATACCATGTAGAGGGTATAATTAGGCTTTGAGGGCCTGAGTCAGTGGAATCAATGGAATTTCCATTGATAAATTGACTTTTGATAGGGCCCCTAATGCACCTTATATGATAATGGCACCTTTCGCCAGATCATTTTATGGTAGTTAGAAAAACATTAGGGAAGTGAAAGCAAATACAAGTTAAAACAGAAGTTAAATATTGTAAGAACTCTGACCAAAGACCAAAAAGAAAAAGAAAATTCATGGCTAGATCAGAACCACAATAACTACTCTAATTTCAAGAGAAAGCTGGCTTCCAGTGGCTGAGGATCTGGACAACTTGGGATATTTTTCATCTAAAAAGCAAGAGTGCTGCGAACATATTTCATTTCAACCTAATAGTCCTTCAGTTCTTAAGCTGAAGGACTTCTGCCTCTGTTAGCTAGGAAATAATCAAGGTATCTTCCTGCTGGAAGAAAGTTGTCCAACTTTGGAGGCTTCCCTCGTTCCGATGTTCTTGGCACTCAGTAGCTTAATCCATCAGCTTTCACACCTGGGATTCAAGGTTGCTCAGGTATTCTGAGCAGTGTTTCCCTGAAAGTCAGAATTTTCCTCTAGTCCGGTGGAGGGATATAATATTTCACAAGACTGAAACCCATCCCTAAATGAAAGAGACCAGCAAAAAACTGCTGCTGAGGCCAGGTCTTTAGCTAAAGGTGGAAGAAAACTAATGAAAACCAGAGAAGATCTTCCGTTTCTTTCAACTGAAAATGTTCTTAGTGCAAGGTTCATTTCATATTGAACTTTTTTAAGATTGGAAACCCACCTCAGTCCAGCCGTGGCTTTTCATGGCATACAATTTCATTGGGTGATCTGCAAGCTGATTTCACTGGAGTTCCCAGCTCTTTCTTGACAGCTGTAGTTAAACTGATGAGCACGTGAGGCTTACACCTGGGGAATTATGGATTAGTCTTGTTTGTAAGGAAGCAAATATAAATTAGTGTGTTTATGCTACTTTTAAAATGCTTTTAATGAGGAATCATTTGCTATTCAAAATTTCAATCTATAATAATGCCATAACCCCGCTGAGCTGATTATCATGTGCCTTGTTTAACATCATTCTTCAAATGGGAGATGAGTGCAAGCCAGTTGTTTTGAATTCTTGTGTGTGTACTGATATCTGACACTAACACAATGGGGCAAGACACCCCGCTTGACTGTGTGTTGTTTTTATTTTGTTCTGTATTTTAGATGGAACTGATCTGACTTCCAACAGGTCTCAGGAGCAGCCTAACTGTCTTCTCCAGTAACAAGGCCTGGGGTCATCATGGCAGCAGGAGTAGCAGCATGGTTGCCCTTTGCCAGGGCAGCCGCCATAGGATGGATGCCAGTGGCCAACTGTCCCATGCCACTGGCTCCAACGGAGAAAAACAAGAGGCAGGATGAGCTGATCATTCTCAATGTGAGTGGCAGGCGTTTCCAGACCTGGAGGACTACACTGGAGAGATACCCGGACACTCTCCTGGGCAGCACCGAGAAGGAGTTCTTCTTCAACGAAGACACTAAGGAGTACTTCTTTGACCGGGACCCTGAGGTCTTTAGGTGCATCTTAAATTTTTATAGAACTGGCAAGCTGCACTATCCCAGGTACGAGTGCATCTCTGCTTATGACGAAGAGCTTGCCTTCTATGGGATCCTCCCCGAAATCATTGGGGACTGCTGCTATGAAGAGTACAAAGACAGAAAGCGGGAAAACGCGGAGCGGCTGATGGATGACAATGACTCAGAAAACAATCAAGAAGGGTCCATGCCATCCCTGAGCTTCCGGCAGACCATGTGGCGAGCCTTCGAGAACCCCCACACCAGCACCTTAGCCTTAGTCTTTTACTATGTCACCGGTTTCTTTATTGCTGTCTCTGTGATCACTAATGTCGTGGAAACTGTCCCTTGTGGCACGGTGCCTGGAAACAAGGAGCTTCCATGTGGGGAAAGATACGCTGTGGCTTTCTTTTGCTTGGACACGGCTTGCGTGATGATTTTCACGGTTGAGTATCTGTTGAGACTCTTTGCGGCCCCAAGTCGCTACAGATTCATTAGAAGCGTGATGAGCATCATTGATGTGGTGGCCATCATGCCATACTACATTGGCTTGGTGATGACCAACAATGAGGATGTCAGCGGAGCCTTTGTGACACTAAGGGTTTTTAGGGTTTTCAGGATTTTCAAGTTCTCTCGCCATTCCCAAGGCTTAAGAATCTTGGGCTACACTTTGAAGAGCTGTGCCTCCGAGCTTGGCTTTCTCCTCTTTTCTCTCACTATGGCAATCATCATCTTTGCAACTGTGATGTTTTATGCAGAGAAAGGGTCCTCGGCAAGCAAATTCACCAGTATTCCTGCTTCCTTTTGGTACACTATTGTAACCATGACAACACTGGGGTGAGTATTACTTTTTCTTTTACTGAGCAGCAGGCAAGCATGTACTAGGAGCTTGACTTCAGTTACTCCTAAGCATTTTCTTGGGTGCGTGTTTGAAAAGGGGCTGGAACTGTTAAGGGCTTGATTGTTCTTTGCCTTACAACTTCTGCAATTTATGCTTATGTGAAGTTGTATAAAACAGAAAAAGCACTTACACCCACTTGACAAACGCTTGGCGCAATGGTAAATGAGTGCAGGAGGAGCAAGGCTGTGGAGTAGCAGGTCCTGTTTCGCACTCCTTCTGCAGGAGAGAAAAGTTAACATGAGTGCAAGGGAGCTGTCAACTAGAGCTTATGTTTTTTTCAGACATTCATTCGAGCCATAGATTTTACACAAGGTTGCTGATGTATATGTTGTCTCTTTTTGTGATGTCGGTCATTGTTTCTTCACTTGACATGCCAGAAATTATAGATTTGCTGAATTCAAATGGATATTGTGGGCCACTATACTCCTGAAAATACTCTGTGATCTGCAGGACGTGATCTGGTTTTTACTTAATTGAGCAGGATACGGGCTTCTTGTCTGTGTTTAGTTGTGAGTTTAAGAAATAATGCAAGTATGCTGTAGCAGCTGCAGTAGAATTTCAAACATTCCCACGGACAGGTACAAAGATAATGATATCAAAGCAAAGGAAATGTAGCCTGGAGGGCACTTTTTTCCCTTATATTTCATTTCTGCCTTACAGGTGTTTCTACTGAGATTATAGATTTGAGCTTCTGTTGCTCTGACCTAAAACCTTTGTAAGCAGAATGACCAAGCCCTCACCCTGACAGGGTTATGTCAAAGAAAGCAGGCATCACAGGCTGCTGCTTCAGGCAGTCACAAAGTTATGATCAAATGCAATCTCTTAATTCCACACATCAGAGCAATATACTAAGTTTATAGTTACTTTGCAAAGAGTTTTCCCACTGGAGAGTTCACACAGTTTAATATTCAGATACAGACAATTCTCATTCTTGTAATATGGTGACCACTTTTTCTCTAAACTGCTTTTGATTTTAAACACTTCTCTGTGCCTATTATACATGAACAGGCTCACAGTAGCACTTCTAAATTATTAAAAACATAATTCAGCTGTCAGAAAGGCGCAGAATCTGAGCATATGACAACCGCAAGTCTGAATTTCTTCATTAAGTGAAAATGTAGAACATGTTTGTCATAGTCACCAGATCTCTTTTTCCTCCTTTTTTAACATCTAAGCAAAGTTTGCAAGTTTGTGTGGCAAAAGCTAAGGTCCTTACCCTGAAAAAGAAGTCAGTGCTTGCTTAGAAATCGAAGCTGGGCTTTAGATCCCAGCACTCCCCCACCCCATGGTTCAGCTTTCCATATTCTGACTGGTCCATACTGGTCGGTTCCCACCATTGTGTCTGAGCAGCTTCAGAGGGACACCTGTCCTGGGTGGCTTGTTCGCGTGTCCTCTTCACAAGGGGGAAATGCAGGAAAATACAGTTCTATTGTCTGGTTGCTGTTTAATACTGATTGCACCTATCTTTCTCTCTACACACGCTTATGCACATTCACACGTATGTTGTTATATCTTTGTGACAGGAAAGTTGGGGTCAAGGCAATGTTCAGTGTTGCTTGGGAATAAACCTTCTTTGTGAAATACACGCAGAACGTCCTGTAGTGCAGTTAAGTCTCTATTCCCGTCAGTGCAGTGACTTAGTCTTGTTCTCTTCCCCTTCCTTTCTGAACGCATGGATAGACAAACCAGAGTGCTCCTGAGGACTTTAAAGTGTTCTCAATCTGTTGTAATCACAGAAATTATAGATGAATGAGCGCCTTTAATGAGTTGACAAGAATTTAAAAAATTATACATTTAAACACGGCTTTGTAAGAGTTCATTGGAAAGGGACCTGTACCATGCTGTCAAAGCTTTAAAGCTTAAACTTCTAGTATTACTGATTTGGGATTTTTGTTGCAGGATTTTAATTAAAATGGGTGTCTCTAGCAAATAATCTATCAGCTAGACTTACAAGAAGCTCAGAAACCTCGATAATAGCAGACCCCGAAGAGCACCTGTGCTCTCTGACAACAACCATCTGCCTACGACCGCACTCGGCAGGTACCTCGCGCTGCCTTACCCAAGCACCCAAAGTCAAACACTCTCCACTGGCTTGCCCAAAACCTGCGCTAGAAAGAGAAGTTGCTACTGTGAGCCATAAAAACCTAATTCCTGCCAGACCAGCTCCACAGAGCGCCGGCCGGACCCCCTCGGAGAGGCACTTTTTGGAGCCGGTCAGGGCGGTGGTGGGTCCCAGCTGCGCGGGCGCAGGGACGGCACTGGTGGAGCAAGGCGCCGGCGGCGCCAGCACCAGCCCTTGGCTCATGCAACAGTTCTTCTGGCATCATGGCACAGAAATTCATGAACTCTAGAAACGAAACTTTTGGCGCCAGGTCGTTTCCACCTTCCTGACTCCCACCATGTGGTGTGGGTGGTTAACATCCCCTGGCCCCCTTCATTTCCCCATAAAACCTTTCAGTTTTGACAAACTGGCATTTTCATACAATATTTCATCTCTTCAGAAGTCATTTCAATATGTTTGGAAGGATGTTGTTACTAATGAGAGTACTGGCAATTCCTATTGCACAGATGTTGCCAAAAATGCAGCCAAAGTCTCTAACGTGCTTCTTAATACATCAGACTTTGCCTAGTTAGTGGTTGCTAGTTCACTGCTTGCATTTCAGCAATGCTCAGAGCTTTTATAAGTATCTTAAATATTTTCTGACGTTTGCCTTCAAAAATTCAGCCAGCATTTAAAAGAAGGAATTATAAAGCACAATGGTTTTTAACTCACATCTATACACATATGTATGTATTTTTTTATTTGAACACCGAAACATTTAAATCCAGGTAAGTGAACATTTCTCTGACACTGGGATTCCGCCATTGCTTGTGACAGAGTGCTTTATAAAAGTGATTTGGAACATGCAGGATAACTTTTCCCATGTTATTAAGACATTAAAAATTAGCTCGATTTATATAAAAGGGAAAGTTTACTTACAACAAACAAACAAGGCTAGCATTAGGAAACCGTTAACTCTCCTACTGTACTCTACGTCAGCTGCTGTTATTCCAGATTCCGAAGTATCTTTTGGATACAATTGACTTTCCAGACTGACCCATAAATGAAAAGCAATAAAAATGCATTTCTTCTTGAAGGTGAAGCACTGCATAAAATAGAATAAGCGCTGCTTTTGGTGGGGTTACTGTGCAAATCAGTTTTGAGAAATCCAGGATGACTTGCAAGCTCCTTAGGTAGTTAACAACCCAAGAAGATAGGTACAACAGTTCTTCTGGAGTGGGAAACAAAGCAAAGGAATTAAATGATACTGACCCTGCATCTCTGATCCTTCTGCTGTGCTCATCAGCCCCGGCTTAACAGAGGCTGTTTTTAATTTAGCACAATTTAAATTTTGCTCAGGAGGTTTTATAATGAAAGCATTATTCTTGGGTGCATCTTAAATCAATCTGAATTAGTGAAACAACTATTCAAAATTAATTCAAAATCAGCTATCCAATTAATGCAGAAACATTTTTCTCAAGAGGCCAACAGCTACCCATCTTCTCTCTTGCCCCTGTCTAAAACACCGATACAATAAATGTTAGCTTTGCCAGCACCCTCTCTTCGTTCTGCAGGAGGTTTTGACCCCCAGGACCCTCCACCTCAGAAATCCAAGCGCTGCCGAAAGCGGCGGAGGAGCACAGCGCTGGTTCCCATTGTTAGCATTCACATCCCTGTCTTGGTTTTTAGCTGACCTGATATGCAATAGCCTTCAGTTTTACATCTGTATAGAGACAGTTTAATTATCATAAATTTTGTAACCTTGTTACCAGTGTGTTGGTTTTATTTACTTTTAAGTAGGATTTGGCTGTGGATGGGGCGGCCTCATGTTTCTCTGCCCGTCAGCATCCATCACAAACACAGCTGCGGTATGAGACCTCTCTCACACTACTAAACCCCACACCATTTTTGCCCAGAGCACATATTTTTCTAAGCTTTTTATAGCTGTTTTCATTCCACCTGACAACAGCAGTATGTTTCCGACTCTCGGGCAGTGTCTGCGACCTGCAGCGTAGGCAGAAAATAGTAGTGAAAATGTAAGTGCCACGTCTGCCTGCACCATCCCGGTGCACAGAGAGGCTCCCGAGGGCCCTGCAGAGCATCGCAGCCGCGCTCCCCACCGTGCCCCGGCCCGGGGGCTGCCAGAGCCGAGCACCGGCACCTAGAGCTGGGTGTCAGCACCCCCATCCCCGCCACAGCTGGGAGCAGACTGGCAGCAGAGAAGGGTGAAAAACCTGCAGTGTACCCTGGAGGGAATCGGCACTGAGACCTTCGGGCCATTTGTGTCAAGAAACCAGCGGTACCGCAGACCGGGGAACAGAGGTCGTCGATGGATTTTGTTCCGGTTTGAGCTTAGAGGTATGCTGTGTGATTTTCTGTTGCCTAAGGAAGGCTGAGCTCCCACAGCTCACCGCCCTCGGGGTGGTCCTAGGAGAATCTGTCTTCTGTCTGACTGTCTCCCTTACAATTTGCAAGAACATAATGGTTTCGAGATCGCTATCCCTCTTTCAGATTCGGCTGCACTTGTCGATGAGTTTGAAAGATACACATCAGTGCACTTGGACAACACAGTCCTATCTATATCGTTCATTTAAGGAACCAGGTTAACCTAGGAAGTCAAAAAAATAGATGTGCTGGCCTGGTTATGTCAACAGCCTGATCTGGAGCAAGATCTGAAATTTCTTACAGTTTTTATTAGCAGAGTACTTAGAGAGCAGGGATTTGGGGGTAGGGGTCTACTTTGGTTTGTCTTGGTTCAAGCTGGTACCCTGTGGTCCTGCAAAATGCAGGTCAGAGAGAGCGCGGGAGAACTGACACCCGACCAGCCCCTCTGAAAGAAACATCTTTCTTTGTTTCGCTTATTTCTTGGGCTTCCTTTTTTATCGGTATTCAATC